CCGGAGGAGACCACATGGCGTGGCAGACCTCTCCTGACCCGCCCGCTGCTCCCCTCAGCAGTGTACTTCGTTGATCTGCCTGTTCTGTTCCCCGCTCTGTCTCTGGTGAAGCCTCTCACCGCCCCTGAGCCTCTGGCCTGTACCCCAGTTCTGTATGCACAAATAAATAAATCTTTAAAAAAAAAAAAAAAAGTAGGCAAGTTCAGGAAAATTGCTTTATATCTTGGAATCATAGTTGAAGCCCTCTGATTCACAGGATGCTTCACAGGAAAATAAGTCAAAGTACTAAAAAAATATACATATATTCTGTTGGGGGGGGGACAAAAATATATATATACAAATGTAATATAAAGTCATTAACTTAAAGCAATTAATGTAAAATTTCAATGTTGGGCCAAGCCTTCCCACGAGTAGATGTCTACACTACATCTCTGCACTGATTTCCTTACATACATCCATATGCAATGCCTGGGATTGCCAACATCAGTGATGTTAAGGTAGACCGAAAGCAAAGAAACATTTAGAAATCAATTCCTTCCATATTTGTGTAATTCCTTCCCCCATCCATCCCATACTTACGGTTTTCTTGCTCAAACTAATTAAATAGCAATTCATTAAAAACAAAGAAAAAACCCTCTCCTTTATGGAATCTTTCTAAAATATTACAATTACTTGTCAGAAGAACAAAAATCCTTTACATGCTCATATTTTAAGAATTTATGCAATATTCACATAAAGTACTTAATAATAATACAGTTGGTTTGGAACTAGAACGCAACTAGTATTAAACTTGTACTAAACATGTACCTCAAATGGAATAAGTAAAAGGGTTCAGGTATCATACAAAACCACTAATCCTAATTTTCCATGTGAAATTGGTATCAATCAGTGGGTTTTAGGAAAAAGAAATTGTTGAATAATTAGTGCATCAGTTAGATGATAACTTCCATAGGAGTTAATGCCAAAGTCATTCTTAGATTTGTGATAATCTAATTTCTAATTTGAAGTTAGAAATTAATATGAGAGAAAAACAATATAATGGTTAAATCTTTTAAGGCTGGTATTATAAAAATCAGGTCCCATCCATAGTTCTCAAATCTACAAGTTTACTTGTATATTTATTTTACAACTCACTCTAAGTAAACCATAATATTACTGTTCAGCTTAAATGCTAATATTCTTAAGTCACCAATAATGCAGTGTCTTTCTAGAATAAATTTGTTAAAGTGTTTTCCAAACTTAATTTTGTTTATAGAAATACTCACCACCACTCCCCACATAAACTTTAAACAAAATGTTCCCAGAACAGTTATAAAGAATGAATGCAAAAGCGCTTTAAAACTAGGACCTAAATACACCTCTAATAACAAAGCAATCTCTGAAGCCTTTCTGCAGAACTCTGAAGATTTTGGGGGCAAAGTTTGAAAAATATTGCCTTAAACCATCATCAAATACCAATATTAAAACAAAAAATATATATGTGGAAGTTAGTGAAAGGCTGTATTTAGGTAATGAGAATAGTTTACCAATAAATTACTTCTGAAACTTACCAATTATTCTAACTTTAAAATGCCATCAAATTTATTAAAAGTAATAATGAAAGCACTAATACATTTTGCTAAACTGGGTGCTTTACTAAATTTGAGTTATTTTTCATCACATTCAATTAATCTTTAATTTTCCCTAAAGTTGAACAGATTCAACCAAACAAGAAGAGTAAATGAAGATAGAAAAAAATGTTTCCCTAGAGGATTAATAAAGGGAGATCAGAATGATGAACAAATTCATAAATGCCTACATCTTAGGTACAGTTACTAATATAAATGCATCAAAGCAGGAAGATCTGCCATTACTGAGACGTTGTGTCCCAGCAGCTGCTCAGACAAAGGCAGCTGGACATCATGGAACAGAGAGTAAACTCATGGCCAGCCCAATAAGCAATTCTATCTGATCATCTTAGCTAAACCTGGCGCTGGATCTCATCACTCTCCTATTTAGTGTTGCCATTTTTCCATCAACAATAAAGAGATAAGATTTGAATATAATATCACCCACCAATAATTGTGTTTTGGATACAGGTCAGAAGACTAACCAAAATAGTAATTATGCTGATCTGATGCTTTTCTATGATAATGTCAAAGCCTAAGTGACATGTCATGGAGAAGAGAGAAGAGTCTTAGAAAGAACCTATGCATTTCTATACATAGAAATCAAGAGATAAAATAAATATTCTAAATTATAAACCTTTACATGAAAAACTAAAAACTGTATAACATGGAATTTGTTAAGTTAGAAAAAATTCGTCCCCAAAACCACATATATAAAGAACTGCAATTGTTCACCACATGCACCATAAGGTGTGTACTCTAAGGAAATTTGAGTTAAATCTATGCTGAAGTGTATTACACTTTTTAACACTGTGAGAAATAATATTAACAGTCTGTACTACCAGAGAAACAGCGCTTTAGCCTTGGCTTTTATTTATCATCAAATAATAATAACAAGGCATTCTGATGGCATTTCAGACTTTTAGCAATAAAGCCCATAGAGGTCAAAGACTTTTTCTGCTTACCTTTACCTTCTACTTACCAAATATTTTGTCACCTGAGCATCCCTTTTTACTCATACAATTACCAAATCTTTAAATGGATTTGGGTACTTGTTAACTAACTATTCTCCAACCTATCCCCTGCCCTCTGAAATAAGACACACTTCATAAGAGCACAGAGCACATCTATCTTGTTTATCAGCCTTTCAACAGTGCCTGCCGAGATGAAGAGATTTAATAAGTGGTTGTTGGATGGATGAATAAACAAATGAATACATCAATTCCTACTCCCATATGGTTTCTCCCTCTTCATGACCTTCAATTATGAACTTTCAATTTGAAAGTTTAAGTGGGAATTTCTGGTTAAACCAACTGGATTGTGGGAAAATAAAGGGAACCAAGAATTGAATGACAAATACTGCAGATAACAACAGAACAAAGAGAAAAGGATATTTAACTCGTGTGTGCGCGCGCGCGCGCACACGTGTTATTACACAGACTAGCGAATTTATATGCAAACCTATTATGAGACACCTCTCTCCTCCTAAAAAGCTTTTATTAAATATTCAATAGACTGCTTTACTGGGAAGAGTAGATCTGGAGGTGGGGGCCTTACCATATGCAGTAAAATTTCTGTAGTAGGATGTGTGCTCATGTGGTATGTGTGCAGTTTTAAGTGAAAAATTAATACTTAACAAATGTTGCAATACATTCCAATATTTACTCATCTAAAGCTATACAATATATAAAATAAATTATAATCATATTACAGCACCAATTAGAGAAATATTTAGTCATAAATATGAAAGTTTAAAATTTGTGTGATTTAGTCAACAAGGCAAGATAATCAAATCAAAAATTCCAAATGTTTAAACAGTAAAAACCACTATACTATAGAATAGAGTGACTTTTATTACTGAAAGCCTGAATTTGATGACAAAACTATTTTTAAAATTTTACTAAAATGGGGAAAAGGAACAGGCCATAAAAAAATGTCAACTAAGAAATACCCACAAAAGGACTACCATAAACAAAATTCCAAAATAATGAGCAAATTAAGAGAAACCTGTGTATTACTGGCATTTGCAATGTATAATCAATTTGACTGAGCAGGTGAATAGTCATAGTTCAGCAGTTATCTGAAATACATCTATAAAGTACATCTTTTTGTAAAGATAGAGAATTTAACTTACAAGAATAAAGGTGGCAAGGTGGCACCTATGGCTGCATGAAGACAAACAGTGATTGTAGGGTTTCTTTTTCTAAAATACAACACTTCATTTTTAAATTATTGAGTTATTTTCTATTAATAATCTGCTATGGCTCTTCCTGAAATTACCCAATAACTTAGGATACTTCTTTTGAAAGAACTACCTATCTTCACATTTTCCTCCTGCATAAAATCCTCCACAGTAGGAATTTTTGAAAGATGTCATAATTCACAAAAACCTTGAATCATTAGAATTTCTAGAAAAATAACAGCAGCAGCTACTCTAGTTATTTACTACATACCAGTCACTGTTCTAAATCTTTATGAATATTACAAAATTTAATCTCTTTAAGAACTTATACCATAAGTACAGTATAAAAATCAGGAATGATAGGCATATACTACATTTCTTTAGGTCATACTATATTTGACTTAGCTTGTGTGTTATTCAATACATGATTGCAAAGCCCTGCCTAGGCCATTAACAACTCTCATGCCCAAGTAGTACCAAAGCAAATTTTCTCTTTCAGGTATCACCTGGTTTTTATCACTCCCCTTGCTAAGCCATTGTTAGCTTCTGATTATCTGAGGTAGAGGTATATACCATAGCAGTTTATGAGAGCTGGCCATACACATGTATTCCCAACTCTGCATTCTGTGGTACCGCACTTGTAACTTAAAATTGGCCATGGTGGGAGTATTTTAGCACCCCAGTAACTGGTAGATCATGGTCATTCTTTCTGTGTGTAAACTAGCTGTTTAATATTTGTGTATACAACACTAATCTGAGGATATGTGTATTAACTTTGTCAGGCCCCGTTCCTGTTCAGCCTTTGTCTATTAGTTGAGTCCAGATACACAGAGCTCTCAAGGCAAACATAACCTATTCCCACAATAGAAAGGTCTAGAGTAGATTCTTTCCCTATTTATTTCTAAAATATGATTCATTCTTAAACAATAACCACTGTAAATCATCACATATAAACTGTTACTGTTTGCTAAAAGTTAGCTGAAATTTTAGGTATGGAATGGTTTATTCTTAGAATGAACATTTGATCTTCCCCCAAACTGCCCACACTTCTTTGAAAAGATATTAATTTCACCAACTTGACTAACAAAATATTATCAAAAGAAATTAGCATATTTCCTATCTTTTCAAAAATCACCTAAATCCAATAATGCTTTTCAGCCACCTCAGTTTTTCTGAACACTCTTAAAACACTTGGAAATGATTCTACTTACTCTCCGTCCACCTCTGGTCTTCTACATACACAATGAAACTTGCCGCCAAAATCTATATAGAGATCATCCTCCACAATATGAAAGATTCGTCCAATAACCAGTTTATCTTTGGCAGGTCCCATTTGTATAAGAGGTGAATGTCTCAGCATAGATGCAAAGGATTCCACATTTTTCTGAGAGTCCTGAATATGGAAAGAAACATTTATGTGCACATTATTCAATACAAAGGTATATAACAGATACAATAAAATCCCATGGTGGGGAATTTTTTTTTTTAAAGATTATGCATACAGAACTGGGGTTCAGGTCAGAGGCACAGGGGCAGTGAGAGGATTCACCAGAGTCAGAGTGGGGAGCAGGACGGCAGATCAACGAAGTGCACTGTTGAGGGGAGTAGCAGGTGGGCCAGGAGAGGTCTGCCGCACCATGTGGGTCACCTCTGGGGCTGAGGATCGAACTCATGCTGAAGTGGCTTTAGCTTCTTAGTCCTGTGCTTTAACCTGCTGTGCCACTAGGAAGGGACCAGGGATGGGGGGTATTTTTAAAGTTAAATTGCTACATCTTTTCATTCTGTAACAATAATAAAAAACATTTATAGAGAATTTTCCTTTAAAAATTCAAGTATACTCTTCAGCTTTCTCTTTTTCACTTTCCTTTTTGTAGAAGAGCCAAAGAAAATTAAGTATTTGCTTGGTAGGGATATTGCAGAAGTGTGGCCCAGAGAGAAATCTGGAATCCCAGCAGAGAAAGAAGTGTCCTTAGACAAGCTCTCCTAGAGTGGGCAGAAGGGTGGTGGTCAGAGTCTGAGCAAGAAAGAAGGCATACAAGTAGACAACTTACTCTGTCCTTAATACTGCCATGTGCACACATAAAAAGTCCTCAAATTTAGATAATGATAGTGACTATTCTTTTAACACAAACTTTAATGTACATTATCATAAAAATGACAAAGGGTTCTTCCATTAGCAGTCTGAACATGAATCTCCGTTGTGGAGTATTTTTAAATGACAACTTTGTTATAATGTTATTTTTTCCCAAAATTAAAATTTCAAAGGAAAAATAGTTTCTCTAATTGTTTTGTGTTGCTTTGTTGTTTAAAAGTCTTTACATATTGAATTTACCTGAGGTATAATGTAACGTATAATGCTGCCTAATTATTTAATTTTTAAGTTACAATTTTTTCCAAGCACTTCTTTTTTCAGAAATTCAAGAGTACAGACTTTTGCCTTCTTAAACTGCATCCATTTTCATTATAGAAGATGTAATTCAGAAACACTCAGATGGAAGAGACAAACAGGACAAGATAGGTGGAGTAATGGGTTTGGAGTATTCAGGCTTTCTCAGAACACATCACTTCTTCATAACGCCACATCTTCATCAACCCAAGAAGCTCCAAACCTAGTCCTTTTAGGTTTTATAGAGGCTTCGGTACCTAGACCGCATTAATAAATAACTGGTCAAAGTCAACTATTTGAATCTCAAGTCCTTTTCTCCTCCCAGCTACATGGGGAGGTGGTGGGTAGGACTGAAGGATCCAACCCTTTCATTTCTCGGTTGGTTCACCTGGCAAAGAGCCCCTATTAACAGCTTTCCAAGTTATATCTTTTGTCGGGGACCAAGATCAGGACTTTGCCTTCTATGCACAAAACAACACTTGATCTGAACTTAGGGTAAACATCCTGGTTGAGAATGCAGCACACCCAAATCCCTTCACCCACTCCATTCTCCCTCGGAGCTCAGCAAGTTCCTGCACCTGAGAAAGGTTTTATCTCTGGCTCCCGAGATAAGTGTCCACTCCCTTAAGATGATTACGGATCCCTCCCCTCAAACCCATTGGCCTTTAAGACATTAAACCATCAAGACCCCACCGGCACTAACTGCATCGCCCTCTTTGTATACACATATATATAGCTGTACGACACAATAAAACTCTCCCCCCTCTCCCTCACTCTCTCTCTCTCTCACTCACTCTCGCATGTGTCTCCGTCTTTGCCTTCTTCCTCACGCTGTCCCTGGGGCTCTACCCCCTCGCCATGCCGGTCAAGGCCCGCCACAAGGTCAAGGCTCTGCCTCCTTCTTTCATCGACCCTGGGACCCCAATCTAGGCCTTGCTGGACAAGGCCTCTTACAATCATTTACATGATAAGAGACACCTTTATGAATCTCTTCATAACATGTTGTTGAAGTCATTTTAAAATGGGGCCAAAGTGGCCACTGGAGAGTAACTGCTTTATTGTTCTCTGTAAACTAAGGTGACCCTTTTGGACTGGGCCAAACCAGTGTCTTCCAAAGAAGTCAACAAAAACAAGAATTATCTATCTGAATTCCACTTATTTTTACTTTGTGACCCTCCCCACCTAACATCTTACCTGCGCTGACCATAACTCATTCTCCCATTACCTCATCCTCTCCCCCCCCCCTTATAAAAACATTGTTGACTTCTGGCTCTCCTCAGGAGAATATTTTAGGTTTCTGTCTTAATCTGTATATCCAGAATTGCAATTCTCTAATATTCCCACATGAATGCATTTCAGCTTAGCCAATAACATTATCGTTCTCATACTGAAGGTTAACAAAGGTGTGAGCCAGGAGTTGGAGAAAATGACAAGGGTAAAACTGTGGCCCCAGAAAGGGCTCAGGAATTAAAGGGAGAGTCATTCTAACTGATAATAATATGCCACACCTCCAAATGAAAGGGGAAAAAAATGACATTCTTAGAAGATGATATTGAAAAACTATATAGCCAAAGTGTTGGAAAAATCATCAGGGTAAACGCTGAATTCAACACGAAGCTGGAGAGAAGGAGAAAAGCTGTGAGCCAGATGCTCAAGAAAGAAATGATCACTTGTCTAACAAATAATCGTTAAGTATTTCTAATAGAAAAGTAAGTCTGAAATGGTCTGAGAAGCGAAAAATACAATGACTTCTTTCTCTCACAGTCTTGAGATCCATCATAACTTATATTAGAGAATACCACAGGGTCATATTATCAAAAGAAATTAAGAAAAGGATAGTCATAGAGAAGATTAAATGAGAAACTGTTCACAGAAAGATAAAGGGAACTTGGGACCAAGGAATGCAATATATAGAGCAGTACTATAGGAAAGAGGGCAACATGTTTAAAAGAATATAATCTCCATGCCAACCCACAGGATGAAAGAAGAAAGCATGGAACCTGCCAGTTATGCTTTTTGACTTCATCATTTAAAATTTGTGTGTGTATAGTAAATAATACTGCAATACATATGTCTTTTCAAAGTAATGGACCATGTTAAAAAATTTCTTATGATAAAAATTTTAAAAACTCTTATGATACACTACAGTAGGAGAATAGCTAGACAGTGAGAATCACAGTTGCAGAAAGAGACTGATGTGTGTATCAGGAAGAACCACAATTACAGAGCGGCTGGGATGTGTGTGTGTGTGTGTCTAAAAAAACAGAAAGCATATCTACTATTCTAAAATAAGCCTTTTACATCAACTTCCATCTTTTCTACAGTACTATTCCTCTCTACACCATCCACACTCCAATGTTTACAAGTATACTGGTTAAAACGTTCTTTCACGAATATGTTACGTAAAAGGCAAATACAAAAAGTGCTGTCAGACATCTGATGTAGTATAGTATCACTGCTCTCAATTGCTACTTTTTTTAAAACAATATAATAGTTTATCTTTATATCATTTTGTGCATTTTTCCATCTCAGTGTAATCCCCTTGGGCTTTCCATCACCAAATCACCCATGTGCCATCACCAAGTTCCAGTGCATTTCCCTCCCCCCACTGTTTTTGATCCCATTCCCCACTCCACCCCCATAAATTGTCTCTGGTATATAATTGCTCATTATTACTATTATTTTCTTGCCTAGTCTATTATACTCCTGCTATGAGTGAAACCATTCAGTATTTTTCCTTTTCTTTCTGACTTATTTCACTAAGCATAATCTTTTCCAATTCCAACCATGTTGCTGCAAAAGACATGTGTTTCTTTTTTTTGGTTGCTGAGTGATATTCCATTGTGTGTATGTACCACATCTTTTTAATCTAGTCATCCACTTTTGGGCATTTGGGCTGTTTCCATGTCTTTTCAATTGTAAATAATGCAGCAATAAACATAGGGATGCAAGTATCTTTTTGAATCACTGTTTTTGTGTCTTTTGAGTAGATACCTAGGAGTGGGATTGCTGGATCATATGGAAGCTCCATGTTTAGCAGTTTGAGGAATCTCCAAACAGTTTTCCATAGTGTTTGTACTAGCTTGCATTCCCACCAGCATTTACTGCTACTTTTTATCCTAACTCTGCATAATAAAAACACAGGGACAGCACAAAGCCTATGAAAAGTCTAGGACAGGACTGGACTCATAAATACTCAGAAATGTTCCTAAGGTAAGGCTGTGAACACAAAGAGTAAGACAACCAAAATGACTCCAAGGAACAAAACCTTAAGGCAAGGCTGAATTATTTCTGGGATATCTGGGGTTGGTTCTCTGAACTGACTCAATTTAAAAGCATTGATGACTATTTCCAGTGACAAAAGGCACTGAGAGTCCACAGCATATGGTAGCAAAGAGTTTCTTAACACCTGTAGACACCTATAATCAAATGCCCATAGAAGGCAAGGCTTTGTGGTAAGAAAGTATTTGTTGCTTCATATCAATTTGCTACATCAAGTCAAAATGCATAAGTATAAAAGTATTGATTGTTAGGTGTCCTGAAAAAATACAACCTCAGAGTTGTAAATTCCCTGCTAAAGGTAAGTGTAAAGGGACCTGAAAGAATCTATGAGCATCCTAAAAGAAACTTTGATCTCATTCTCAAGGCATAAGAGTCCTGAAAAACAAATCCAAAGTTCAATTCTCCAGAAGGCTAAATGACAATACAAACTGAATTTTTAATTTTTTTGGTTCTCCAATGATAAGATGAGGGTACTGATTAGAAAGGCCATGGATCCTAGAAATTAGAATGGGACATATAAACACTGATGATCCTGAGGATCTTTAGCCCTAAATTCTGTAATGTGCCCTGTGCCAGTAGAAAAAAGTTCTTGCATGTCAATTTAAGGAGGGCAGTCTAACCTTTTCTGAAGATTCTGCAATGGTCTACTCTGTAGTAGTTGCAAGGGGCTACTGATCTTTCTATGCATCCATCTCTATCATTTCTCATTACTTCCAGATCGGCAC